CTTCATGAATGTCCATTTGAAGGAAGAACAAAGGTAAATTATCCATAGAAAAGTCTAAATGTGAAAGAAGCTAAAACTTTTATGACAATGACTAACAAATTAATAGAGTGAAACTGTACACTGCAACTACAAAAGAACAACTGGATGGCCAAGATGAAGGATCTAGAGAAAGCATGAAGAAGTGACACCTTTTGCCCAGGGCTTGTGACCTTTGTACTTGCAAAGTTATTAGAGCTTCCAGAAAGCTACCTCTAATTCTGCCAACTGATACCCCCCCCCCTTTTTTTTTTTTTAATCTCTCCTCTTTGGCACCGAGCACTGCACATAAGGGAAGACTCAGGCATCCAGACATACTCCAAAGCGTTAGATGATACAGCATTAAAAAAACAAAACATTATAAATTAATGTATTTCATGAACATGCAGGTATAAGCTTTGTCATTACCCAGGGCATGTTACAACTTTTCTCCAAAGTGCACTACAGTTAGGTGAAAGAAAAACCTCTAAGGGATCTGGAGTGAACTTCTGGCACTCGGGGATGAATTCTGCCTTCAGACCGTATCTTTACAAAAGACTGAGATTTCAAGAGAAGTGTCTCCAACTTTTAAGCCATATCAACTTACAAGCTATGGAACAAATAATCTCCAAATTGGTTGAAAAGTACTTCAACGACTTAATGAATGGTTCAGATGAACTGGGATCAAGCACACTCTCAGCAAGTTTGCAGATGACACTAAGCTGAGTTGTGCGGTTGACACTCCCGAGGGACGGGATGCCATCCAGAGGGACCTGGACAAGCTTGAGGAATGGGCCCATGTGAACCTCATGAGGTTCAACAAGGCCAAGTGCAGGGTCCTGCACCTGGGTCAGGACAACCCCCAGTATCAGCATGGGCTGGGGGTGAAGGGATGGAGAGCAGCCCTGTGGAGGAGGACTTGGGGGTCCCGGTGGGTGAAAAGCCGGACAGGAGCCGGCAACGTGCGCTCGCAGACCAAAGGCCAACCGTGTCCTGGGCTGCCCCCAACGCCGCGTGGCCAGCAGGGCGAGGGAGGGGGTTCTGCCCCTCTGCTCTGCTCTGGGGAGACCCCCCTGCAGTGCTGCACCCAGCTCTGGAGCCCTTGGCACAGGAGAGACACGGACCTGCTGGAGCGGGGCCAGAGGAGGCCCCAGCAATGCTCCGAGGGCTGGAACAGCTCTGCTGGGAGGACAAGCTGGGAAAGCTGGGGAGGTTCAGCCTGGAGAAGGCTCCAGGAAGACCTTATAGGGGCTGTTCAATAGAGGGAGCTCACAGGAAAGATGGAGAGGCTTTTTTATCATGGCCTGTAGTGACAGAACAAGAGGCAACAGTTTTAAACTGAAAGAGGGTAGATTAGCCAGAAGGAAGAAATTTTTTTTTCCTTACAGTGAGGGTGGTGAGACACCAGAACAGACTGTCCAGAGAAGTTGTGGACACTCCATTGCTGGAATTGTTCAAGGTCAGGCTGGATAGGGCTTTGAGACACCTGATGTAGTAAACAATGTCCCTGCCCATTGCAAGGGGGTTAGAGCCAGATGGTCTTGAAAAGGTCCCTTCCAACCTAAACAATTATGATTCTATTATTCTAACATTAAATTCTAGTTTGGACACAGGTGTACAGATCATATTTGGCAAGTCCAGGTGTTCTCCTTCCAAAAGGTTTCTTCTGTTGGCAATTTCAGATTTAAAGCTATAGCAATCACCCTAATATCAAAACAGGCAAAGCAATGTCTAAAGTTTCTCAAGTTCGATCAGAACTGGGAGAGGAAAGAGGTGGTTTTTCCTCTCAAGAAGGTTATTCTTCCTCACAGCACCTGCTGAAAGAATTTCAGTTCACATTTTTCAGGAGATCTGAAACACCCCACACCCCCTCCCCATTGTTTTCTGTCATTTGGGGTACCAGTGGACTTTATCAGAGCACACCACTGGGTAGAACAAGAGAGCTCTAGAGCAGCCCATGCTTTTTGTGGGGGTAACTTAGCTACGCAGAAAAAGTCTTTTTTCCTTGGTTCTTTTCCATGACCCTCAGGCTCCTTTCTTGCCTTCAGCAACAAAGATACTTAAGTCAGTTTAATAGTTCTCATACCCATCTCGCTTTTGTGCTCCTGCCCTACTCCTGTGTTTGTGCCAAAAGAGCAGTGCGTGTGTGGTCACAGAAAGAACGAGATCAAGGAAAAAGTCTGGTTAAGAGAGTATTTTTGCAGGCTTTTTTTTTTTTTCCAAGCAGATCAAATTCCCAACTTATTACATGACCCAGCTGCACACACAGCTATCACAGCCAGGGTACAAAGATGAAGCTGCTTAATATTAGCACTGCAAATGAACTGCTGCAAGGAGAAGGGGGGATGTTTATAGTTATTTTCCTAGCAACGTTCTGCTGCCCAAACCAGTATTATTTCACAGACAAGTATCAGCAAAATCTATTATAAACTTTGTCCATATAGATCCTCTTTAAAGCTGAGACATTCTCTACACACAACAGTTATGTGAATACCATTACTCCCTTAAGACCATGCTCCGGTTCACCGCAGCCAGCAAATCTTTCACTGCAAAGGGAAGGGCTGGAGAAATCGGGACACGTGCTGTGTCAAAGATACAAGGCACTGCAAGGGAGAAGAGCGGCTTTAAGAGTGGATTGGAAGGCCCATTTTGGTAAAGCAATTAGACAAGTGGTGACGGAAGGCAGCTAAATTAAGATCTGTTCTCACAAACGTTGTCTTGTCATTTAATCCAATGCTATAAAAAGTAAGCATGCTTGAGGAGTGCTGTACAGATGTCAAACCGCCCTGGCTCACAACAATTTTGGGGCTCACAACAATTTTGGGGCTCACTTTAAACATAGCGTTCGTGGACTCTGGGTCAGGGCAAAGAACCACCGCACAGCACAGCAAGGGGGCTCACGGGTTAAGGTAACGCTGGTGAATGATGCTGCAAGTTAGACAGCTTCAGCACTTGCAGAGGAGCGCCAGGCTCACGTGCTATGGGATAAGTCTTTTCGAAACCATAGCAAATAAAAATAAGATGATAGTCAGCACTGTTTGACACGGAGGGGCAAGAGAAGAAGGGCAGAATTCAGGAGAACTTCCCAAAACACTGCAAAGCAGCACACTTTTATTTTTTTAAATTAAGGCTGCGTCTTTACTTCTTGCTAGAAGTCGTAAAAAGGAAAGTATTTTCTTGTAGCAAGAGGACCATTACTTTTGTTACAGCTGTGACTACTTCAGCAGACACAGTTCTGGCTACCACCATCATACTAAATGGTAGCTACCAACATCTTCGAAGGGGCAGCATATCTACTTTTCAGAAGTCTCCTCTGGACTCAGCGGGGAAAAAGCACTGCAGAACGCCAGTGTACCACCTCAGAGGAACTCTGAGAAATAATGGAAGTATCTTGTGCCTACGAGAGTAACTGTCACCCTGACTCTAGGAATGCCCACGAGGACGTGCAAGAGCAAAGAGCAAGAAAAGCGACAGCAGCAAATCCTCACTGTTCAGCCCTCTGTGAAACCCATGAGCAGAAACACAAACAGTTGTCCCAGAGCACAGATCAAGCTCTATCGGCTGACTCAATGCCGAGACAGATTTACTCAAAGGTTACACTCCCGCTGGCCACAAAGCAGTACTTCACTGTTGGTACCCATCCCACCTTACAGCTCAGCCATACCAGGCTGATGAGGAGGTAAGGATTTGTTAGGCAGGAAAGGAGGCTAACTTCACACCAACGTATTTTATTAGAGAGGCACGTATGGTATCAGAGACTGACCCGTCTTCTCCGCCAAAGCACACCGTCCTGCTTAGGCCTACGTCAAGAACAACGTGCAGCTGAAGAACGCAACAGCATCCGTCCCAAACTGGCACTTCAGGCTATTTCAAGTAGGGACCCCTTTTTTAGCTACTTTGATTCCAAGTCAGGGAAACTTTAAGAAATTCCTCCCCTTGAAGTGAGTGCGAATCTTTTTCTAAGTGGCCTTCCACGTAAACTTTTTTTTATTATTATCACAAGCATCTGATTGTGTGAGAAACATACCAAGAATAATAGAAGGTTGCTTTCTTTAAGCAATATATTTTTCTTTAAAATGTCACAGAATAAATGGGTAGCAGGAAGATTCAACAACAACAAAATTTAGCAGCTTCACCAATTCCCACCTTCCTCTTTAAAATTAGCATCTTTAAAAATTACTAGCCAGGCAAAAAAAAAAAAAAAAAAAAAATTTAAAACAAGGTGAAATTCTTATAGAAGCCTAATTCTTTTTTATTAAAGAAGTTGTAAAATGAAAAACCAAAGGAAATGAAAAACCCAACTGAAGTGACAAAAATAACTGGTAAAGCAACTACTGTAACAGGGAATTCAGCAAAACTATTGTGAGCTACTACGGACCTCTTACAACGATGAGCGTAGAGGAAGGGATAAATGTGATACAGTTTTCATCTGTACTTACCTTGTTGTTTCTTAAGTCTACCTGTCACAATTTATATCACCCCAACAACATATTTCTTGAACAAAGATGTTGTATTTGTATAAATTAAGTTCTAAATTATAACTCTCATGCTTCAGTAGCAAAGTTTAAGGACAGCAGAAACTATGCCCTATCTTTTGTACAGCCACACATGTTTATAAAAGATCTTTAAGGTGCATTGGAGGTGCCTTTTTTAGCAATTTGCAGGGGAAGAGGCTGTGGATAGAAAGAACAATGACACGCTAGGGGAAAAATATAAATACAATTTTTACTTAGAAGAATAATAAGCAAAAGTATTCAAGACGCAATAACTGAAGGCATTGGTGGAGAACACACACATTTTTCTTCCATATAAGATTTCTGTTCTCTCTGGCTGAAGGCAGCATCCAAATTGCTTTTGCCTTTTCAGCAGTACCACTTGCATATTTTGCATGAGAAGGGGTTTGTTTTAAGGACAAATTTGATACATCAGCATGTACCACAATGCAAACAACCGGACACTAAATACATTCCTTTATGTAAACATACCTTTAACAGTTTTGACAAAAACTTGTTTCTCTTTACTGGGGTCTTTTTCTTCTATGAGAATCCCATGGAAAATGCGTCCAAATGTTCCTTATGAAGAGAACATACAATTAGTAAGTATTATGGGGTAAAAAATACACTGATAACATTAAAGGAATTCAATATTTATTAAGAAAACACTACCTTAAAATGTATCAGCCACAGCAGAAAGTTAGGAACAACGGCAGTTAAAGTGTAAATCCCGAATGCCCTATTAAGTCAACAATACATAACCAACCCCAAGCACGAGGTGGGTTCAGAACTATATGCAGTAAATGCTGAAAGTTTTAGATAACTAAAACTTTGGGGAACAAGCATGAGAGTGAACTAATGATAGCAGCAGAATCCAGTTAAATTAAGTATCAATACTGATGATGGGTTTATTTGCGGCACTTTAGTTTTTGTCAGCTGTTTGCACTAAAACCTCCAGCTCCATCCTCTTCTCATCCAGCCAGTCTGGAATTCTCCGTTCAAAACATTTGTCAAAAACGAATTTTTTTTGCAAATATTCACAGGGAAATACTGGTTTCAGCCAACCAATACACATGGAACAGTTTTTGGGGAAAAAAAAAACCCACAGTATCACATTATTCAAATATTTCACCTCACTAGAAAGTGTTGTGTGTGTTTGTTTTGGGGTTTTTTTCCAGTTTCTCCAACATTTTTCCATTCACAAAATTTTAACCCTGCTATTGCAGGAAGGGGAGCTCCATTGAACAGCTGGAGTAAGAACAATTGCAGCGTGATAACACACACAGAATTCACTTTTTATACAAATCAGGTTGGCAACGCTTTTCTGCCGCACTATTACCGTGGCCCCAACACGTGCATCGTCTTCACGCAGTCTATTCTCATGTTGCACCCCGTTCCCATTGATTTCTCCTGTCTGACCAGGTTGAAAGATCTTTGATAGGGATTGCCTTAGCCTTGTTGTACATCTTCTGGCATGAAGTGTGGGTCTCATTTAGTTTCTAAATACTTAACAGGGATGTGCAGCTTTCCTATCACCTAGCCTGGGACTGCACATAAACCCTGCAAGACAGGGGTCTTCAAACTGTAATCTCACTAAGAAGCAGTCTAACTAAGGAGACTACAAGGCAAACATAAACATACAGCATGAATTATTTAAGAGCAAACTAAAACCCTCCCAGTCTTGGTTCTTGAAGACATCAAGAAAGTGCCTTAAATATGTATTTCCAATATACAGATATACATAAAAGCCAAAGGCAAAGTAGCATCTTGTACTGAAACATGTTATGGTATCAAGCTATTTATCTGTTTGTAAATGCTGGAACTAAAGAGAATGGGGAAGCATCTAAAAGCAGCTACTAGAAAGTAATTTTCATGCAGTCCAATAACTAGACATAGTAAGACTAATGCAGCATGCCTGTACGGTCCACAGTTCAGGGTTTGGTTGGTTTGGTTGTTTGGGGTTTTTTTGGTTTTGTTTGGGGTTTGATTTGGGGTTGTTGGGGGTTTTTTGTGGGGTTTTTTTTGGGGGGGGGGGGGGGGGTGGGTGGGTTTTAAAGTGTTTTTTTCTTTGTTTGTTTGTTTTTTGTTTTGTTTTTGTTTTTTTTTACCCAGTACCCTGAAAGATTCCTATCTTGGCAGGAATTGTATGTCACCGGTGTGCCATAACATTTAAGAGACAGCACTATGAATATGCTACTTCTGCCTCGCTCTCCTCCAGGCTTTTCACAGATTACGCTGTTTATATTCCAGAGTGGACATCTAAGTCATCTCTCTACTTCACCAGAACATGGTAAAGGTCCACTTACTGTTAACATCTGCTCTATTTGCTAAAGCATAGGAATTCCATTTGAAACTTTTTTAGGACACCTACATTTTTGTCTTATATCTAGTACAATAAGAGCTTGATGCAGGTTCAGAATCAGATGCTGCGCAAACCCAGCAATACACAAGGCCTCTACAGATCCCTCTTCCTTTGCACACTCTCAATTCTGGTGCTTTGCATTTTCCAACTGGTTACACCACAGCAGAACCATAATCTCCTAAATTATTAAAATGTTAAAGTAGGTTAAGTTATGAAAGCTACTTTAAGTTTATAATGAATCTCTGGCCAAGAGATGTAAAATACGTTGAAGTTCTATCGGCAGCACTTAGGAATTCTTGACAATTTTAAGCAAACATTTCTATTATTCACTTCTTGGCCTCTGAAGCTCTTTTGTTCTTAGCTGACAGAGGTTCAGCTCTGCTACAGTCCTGAGCTAAAACTGATGATTGTTCATCAGGATCTGTCTTCTAGTCCTCTGACTAAATTTTGATGGTTTTGACAGACTCAAGTACCAGCTGGAGGCCAAGAAACAAGATCCCAGTATTAATGGGGTCCACATTGCATTCAACAGCATCTCGCAGAATAGGGCAGCTTTGTCACTCTGTGCTGAACATATCAAGCTTAGCTCTGAGTCACTGCTCGTCATCGGATGATGCCTAACATCATGGCTACAGATAACAGAGTACAAAGGAACACAAAGCACATCCCACATGCAAAGGAAGCTTTTTGCAGAACCAAGATTGGAGTTGAGCACAAAGCTACCTCGTTAGAGATTTAGGGGCATACATTAAATGGAGAGCGTTAGCATCCTCCCGTTGTTTTTCAGACAGTAACGTAAAGCATTTAGCAGTTCTGCCTCCGAAGGATGAGTATCTCAGACCTCTACCTTTGGAAAGTTTCATTTCTCATGAGGCTCAGGGAACACAGAGTCGAAGTTGCAGCAGTAAAGATTAATGACAAAAACCCATAAATATTTAAGCCTATTTCCCAAATTCAACGCCAAGAAGAGTCAATTAATGTTGTGCAGGAACACTTCCAAAGTAAACATCAAACAAGACAAAATAATCAGGTAGTCTCTGAATTTTTCATATCAGAGCTGTAAATGTTGCATCTGCTGATTAGATTTCTAAATCAGAAGCTATTAAACTGAGATGATGACTTTAGATGACTGAGGTTTTTGTGGGCTTTGGGTTTTAATTTTTTTTTTTCTTGGTAAGAGAAGATCTCCTGCAGTAACCTACAAAAGTGAGTTCCTTTGCCACTTACAGCCCCAATTGGTTACCTCATTCCTTAGCCATCTAACCCTTACCTTTATTTAAAGGATCAGATTATTAAGATAGACAAGCTGAATGATTTACTGAGCACGATTAGTTGCTCCCCTTCTAACGAATTCTGGAAACTGCTTTCTCCACCTCCCCACACCCCAAATGCAAACATCATTCATCATTCTTCTCCTCCTCCAAAGTTACAGAGATCAGAAACGTCATCCATGATTAATTTCAGAAAAATCTACCTACTAAAAAAAATATATATATATATACACACACACATATACACACCATGTTACAGTCAACAAGTGTCTGAGTCCTGTAAATACCTTCTTGGAGCACATCTTTTAGAGTTATCCTCTCCCTGGAGATGGCTATGTCCTTCACTTTAGCTTTTGCTTCCATGAGAGTGACACTTTTAAGATCATTCTTCTCTATCCGTAACGTAGGATAACCTGAGGAGCCAGCAGAGCCAAACAAACCAATATAAATACCCTTATAATGAGAACAGAAGCACATTGCTTCACCTCAGCACCACCTACAGGCATAAAGACATGTACGCAGCACGTACTTAAAAAGACTATCTATTAATCTTAAAAAGATTAACAAACACAAGTGAAGTCGTGTGAATATAATAAGGGGGGGGCAGAAATCACACGAATTCTGTATAGTGTCACACAGTCAAGTCTCATTCTTAACACCAAGTAAACAAAACTCCTCTTTATGTACTGAAGTTGATTAACACAACACTGATTAACTTCCTGGACATCAAGAAAATAAGGATCATGGTGGGAGACTATCATAAGACTTGTTAAGAGTGAGGAAGATGCCTTACCCCAGCAGGACATAACCAAAGCTACCAGTGCCCTCTTCTGGCACTTCTGGAGATCTAGATACACTGATGTAGTTAGAAAGGTCTGAATATTTTTGTACAAGTTTATGAATAATGAGAAAAATCCTGAGAATTACTCTGATGATTTTTTTTTTTTTTTTAATTTAAATGTTACTGAAAACAAAGTTGAAAACAAAGTTAATGTGATTGTGGAAGGACCAAGAATGTTCTTCCTGTTTATCTCATGCATCCAACCTTTTTTCTTCCTCCATTTGTTTTCCCTGTGCTACCACGAGTGTCCCAAAACAAGTAAGAGACATTCTGAAACAATACAGACTGAACACAGCAAATAGTTCCCATTTAGGCATAGTGGCTACTGCGCTCATCAAGATGAGGAGGGTTTAATCACCACTGTGGGCTTGGTTTGTAGGCCACCTTCATGACAAGTCCTCTTCTCCCAGTAATGAGTTTCCAGGGGTGATATTCAAATTACCCAAACAGCAGCACTTAGAGGGACGACCTAAAAACCTGAGGTTGAAAGGACATCAACAGCAGAATGTGATCTGGGACAAGAGATGGAAAATAAAAAGGCTGGGGAGGGTCTTCAAGTGGCGAGAGGGAAAACCAGCTTAAGGATTAGTTGCATGCTAAGGTCTCTTCGAAACTCTGTGAGAAGGAACCTTTAAAAATATTTATTTATTTTTCTTTTTAAATTAATTCTTCTACTAAGTAAATTTTAAAGGCCATTTTTGCAAGGGAAACATGAACTCAGATGACAGAAAAGATCCTTTTTTTTTTTAAGGAGATATATTACAATTTAGAAGAAAGACAAAACTTTCCCAAAGTTGCAGGAGTTCAATCTTAGGTAAACACCTGCTTCCACACATGGGGAGGAAACAAGAAAACACAGCAGGGCTTGAACAGTAATCATGACATTTGTGTAGTGCTCCCTCCTGAATTGGGATGGTCTGTATCACTATTAAGTGCAATCAGAAGAAAATGGGAGAGACTCTGGGGTCTTATTGGTTGCTTTAAAAAAAAAATAATGTCATTAATCATTATTTTTACCTAGCTCTAAATAATGGATCTACATTGACATTTCTACTCATTAGATTGCTTAACAAAGTCTCTTCAGGCAATTAATACAGAACTGTTGAGCATTACAGAAGAGAAGATCACTGGTGGCCATGGATGAAAACAGGAGCCATTTAATTTACACTTTTGGAAAAGGTGAGGGTACTATTTCAGCTCGGCAGTTCCCACTCTTTGGGGAACCTATTGAGAAAAACAGCACTTTGAATTTAACAGAGACAGACTGTTCCTCTAGCCAGGCTCCCCCATTTTTCTCACTTTGTAACACAAACCCTTACCTCACTTTAGATCTTTTAAAGCAGGCTCTCCAGCAGCAGCTTAAGCCAACTGAGTTTGGGCTAAATCCTACCTTCCTCCCATGCTCCGTCATGCAGACCCACACTCTCAAAGCACCAATCTTGGTGCTCATACAGCGAGGCCACAAGCCAGTTCAGAGACCCAAGTCAACAAAAAGCCCATCACTACAACAAAAAGCGAAGTTTTTAGCTGGCTCAGCTCCCCAAATCATCTTGCAGCATAAGTGCCAGCAGCGGAAAAAGGCTCATGGTCAGTCTAGTGAGACTGAACTGCTGAGGAACTCCACACCAAGCGTGTCCCTACAGCATCCAGCTTCCCTACAGTCTAAACAGTCCCTCCCCTGGAGCAGTGCTATATGGGATATTCCTCCACTAGAGAAGACAGACAATAACTGGAGGAGTAAATATTCCACAGATAATAAATACCTTCGGTAATTACAGAATTAACACAGAACATCGCTAGTACCAGTCTATCACAGAGGATATAGAACACTGCCACTCTTCCTTTTAATTCACTGCTCTCTAACTATTTAATGCTCTTTCAAGCAAAGCTGTGAACAAAAAGAAATCGTGAATATATCACCCTTGTAAAGCTTTTTCCCCATTCATTTCCTTTGCAGGTTGCAGCAAGAAGAGGAAAAGAGTCATCTCTGAGATCCCTACCACCAAATACTCCAGCTGTGCCCAAGAGGGTCTGTTGCAAGGGTCTGTAATTAGATTAACACTTACTGGTTACTGGTGTTGCATTGTTTGGCGTGTCAGCTCGCAAGTACTGTGTCGTCTGTGTGGAAGGTTGGGATAAGCCTTGTGAACTACTGCTGTCACTAATACTGTTTTAAAACAAAAACGGACAGGAACATGACTGCTTGCCACTGTAATAAATTCAAAACTAACATATCAAAATCAAAAACATAAGATTTCCCAGTCTATGGCATTTTTAAAGTCTCTCACACATTAAAAGGTAACTCAAAAACCATAGCACCTCTGACCTTGGAGTGTGAGCAACTTATTTGTTTTGCAGAATTCACTCCGTTTTCCAGTACTTTTTGCCCACTTTTGAAAAATCACGGTGACAATTTATTGCTAGAACCACCCTATCATATCAGAAACAACAAAACTATTATCTCCCAGAAAAGACTTTTATGCATTTGTTTCGTGGTGCCAACATCCCACTGACAATCAACAACTACGACAGTTTGAAAACAGTACCCCAAGCCAAACAGAGAGGCACCTGTAACACCCTGCAAAGCTTAACTAGCTGTTTCAGCCAGAGCGATCTCCTTTTGCTCGCTCTGGGCATGCCAGCTGCCAGCTCTGTCGGCTGTCCTGTAATTCCTGTGCTGGAGCAAACATCAAAAAGATATTCCCTAGGTTCACTGTTGCAAACAGTTGTTTGCCTTATACCACCATACCCATTTCAGCTCTCTTTTGCAGAGCAAACTACCCTACTTTGTCATTCCTCTCTAACGACACTTGTTGTGCCTCCCACGGCCACCTACAATGTGTTTTGAGACTTTTTCTTTAGGTAGAAGGACCATAGCTGCACGTGGTATTCAAGACACGGGCAAACCATAGCTTAATCTGCAGCAGGATGTTTTCTGTCTTATCCTTATAGACAAAAATCCTAGAAGAAGAGCTGTTGTAGCTGTAATGGCCTAGGAACAGGTGAGAAAGTTTGCAGGCAAAGGCAGTACCTGTTACTAGCTCAGATGGCAGGGTCAGAAGAAGCTTTTTTTGATCTCCCCAAACACCCTCTGCTTTTTTGAAACTTAAAAGCTTCTCCACTTCTGCTGACTGGATCGAGAGAACAAAGAAGAGATTGTTTTGGGGTATAACCCTCTGCCTTGACAAGTAATCAACATTCCATTTGCTTCTTGGGCTGCTATTGAGCACTGACCAAGCAGCGCTAGCCATCCTTGGAGGATTTTTAGACATGCTTGGTGATGCCCTCAAGGACCACTGTTAGTTTTGAAGCAAGACTTCCTTTAAAAAAAGAAAGTCAAGTCAACTCTTCCCCATTACACCATAATCACTGGAATTTCTTCTTTAGAACAGAATCTACTAATTCTCAATATAAATATCAGGCTTACTGATTTAAAGCTGGCCTTGATCTCTCTCTGGAAACCTTTTTTTAAAGTTATTCCCACATTCACACTCTTCCAGGTGTAGGGTTCCAGCACAGTTTTTAGCACAAGGTTAAAAGCCACTGCTGGTGGTCTAGCTACTCCACTTTAACTTCCTTTAGAGTTTTTGAATGAATATTCTCCAGTGCTGGCAACTTATTACTGCTTCTTTTAACCATTCGCATTATTGCATCCACAAGCTGCTTCAATATGATCCACTCTCTAGCAAGTTCCCCGGAAAGAAGTGCCCTGGCATGGTCACTGCATTAAACACTGATGTGGAACTTAGATTTCGTTTTCCTGCTACGGCTGGAAACTCCTTTTGTAACCTGATCACCTAGCAGCCCTACAGATTTTTTTGGCTGGCTTCCTGTTGCAGACAAGTTTGAAAAAGGAATTATTCTTTTTATGCCTGTTGCAAGTTTGAAAAACTACCTTTTTGGTTGGCTTCATTCTGGTTTTTTTAGGTTTAACTTGCTCACATTTATGGGCTTTCTTAGTTTTCTCACTTACATACTACGTCAGCTTTTTGAATGATGCCTTCTTGCTTTTAATAACCTCCATTATGCTGCTGTTAAGCCATGCCAGCTTTCTCTGGCACTTTTTCAAGTGCCTTTGATAGGAGGTATGCAAGCATTTGCTCTGAACTTTCAATACAATGTTCTTAAATAGTCCATGTGCAGCCTGTAAACTCAGCTGCCTGGTTTTAGCTTCTATTTAACAACCTTCCTCACTTTTATTTAGTTCTGGTTTTTGAAATTAAGAGCAACGGCAGTGGGTTTTTCAGCCTCTTGCTCCTGGGAGGTCGCTAACCCTAATGACATTATCATCTTCGATTCAGAACCCTTTTACAGCAATATTTGAAGCTTGTTATTCAAAACCAAATCAATAGTTGTTTTTTCTCTTACAAGTTCCTTGACTAGTTGCTACATCAAGCAGTCACTGATCACATGCAAAGCTAGTGCATAACACTGAGGGTAAATTATAACACTGAACCAGTTTTTCAACCAAGCACTGAAACATCACCTCACAGTCTCTTTGCTGGCTCCTGTGCACACTGCCCATTCCTCTGAAAACAAATGGATCCTGATTTTCACGCACATTTTGCCTCTGTTACACCTTTGCTACAACACTAGTTGACCTTACCCAGGAGCCCATCCAAAGTTTTGTCAGGTCAGGCTCAAAAAAAACCAAGTCATCACATGGCTCTCTGAAGAACTAAATCCCACTACCTGCAGAAACTTCACAGAAATTATCAGAAAGCCATATATTAATTTAGAGCAAATTCTTTAATACCTGCAAACCACAGAGTATTAACATTAGATGAATTTTTAACTTGTATCACCACAGAAATCCAGTAAAATGAAGTGGATGAAAGGACATTTGATCACACTGTGAGGCTAAGACAGTCTCTCAACAACTCATAGATGACGCTATTCACACACTCTATAAATGTAATGCTTTTCCTTTATGAAGTAAAGCAAGTTGCACATCCTTTAACACCTTCCATTGATTAAAAAACCCTCAGTAGACAATTAGGTACAAATTAATTGAGCAAAGCTGACAAGTCATTTGGTTAGATCATCAGGCACTGAGAAACCATAACTTCTTAATACACCGACATCCCCAAAAAAACAAGCGGTCTAGGGACACCAGAGTAGTAAGTGGCAGAAAGAAAAGCAGAATGGATAGAGAGGAAGATGAAAAGATAGAGCTACTCTCAGAGGCTGCAGGCAGGAACAGAAACTGTTCAAGATATCCTTTCAACAGGGGTGACCACCCACGGGGGCCCCGACTGTTTTCTGAAGTATTCTGTTTCAAAACTGCCTGCTTCTGAACAGTTGCATCTGATGCAGCTTGTTCACTCAGCCTCAGCAGAGCCTCAGTCCACCTGCTTTTTCAGCCTCCCTTCCGCCTCGGTGTTTAATCCCCACTCAGCTGACCATGCTGTCCTCAGGTTCACATTACAAGTCCTTTTCGCATTCATGTGTCAATTTGTTTTTTCTGGATTGAAAAATACATTTGAGAGTAAGCCCATTTTCAGCTTTATAACCAACCAGTTGTGATCCCCAGACTTTACCCTAAGGCCAAAGTGAATACTGGTAAATCAATCAAAACAGAGAAAGCTGAAATTCAACTCCTGTACAAGTCAATAAAAACCAAATATTTCCAGTGTGCCCGGGTATCTATCAAATTCTCCTTCAATCCTGACAATCCCTGTAGATCCGATTCTGTCCAAACTTCCCCACTGTGCATCTTCCACACAACTATTCTGGCAAAAACCCAAGAGCTACAACCATCCAACCCCATAAACAGCTGAGCATCTGCAACTGCTGCCTTTCTGCAGTCTAGAACTTACCACAGCTCTGCACAGGTAATAACTGTTACAGCTTGACATCAAGAGCAGAAATTGCAAGCTGCGACAGAGTGCTCATTTTGAGAGCAGAACTCCCACAGGTCTGGGTAAATGTGTCCCAAAAATGCACTTAAAAAGGTTGATTACTTACCTGTCATCCAACTCTATCCTTTTCATGCTGTGGAGATGCAAGACAGCTAGTATTATTGCCACGAGGAATATAACAGCACAGCACACGCCTACACTGATATAAAACACACGGGTAGAAGTGGTGGGAGCTGTGTTCACAGGATCAACTGAAATAGAAAGGTGAAGAGTTACTGAGCCTCTCTCAAAAAAAAGAAACCCAACAAGCAAAAAAAACCCAAGGGAACCCCACAGCAAATGACATTTGCTTAGCTGCCAGCAGGCTGACACGGCTGCTGTCCCCAGACTCGCCCCAGGTGCCCTGCCACCCAGGTACGGCAGGAGCAGGAGGCAGAGGCAGACCATGGTAACCCCCAGAAGTGGGCACCACAGCTCCTGCTGCAGCAAAGTAGAGCAGGGCCCAGCAAGCCACTCAGTGCCTTGATTTATTTACTGGGACAAAAGGAGGGCTCCTATTGAAGGATAGAAGCTAGCCAGGAATCTCCCAGAATGGTCTTGTTGGTCCTGCTGGTTCTACCTCACACAAGCCCTCGACTCTCCTCCGTGGCTCCCATGCGGCCAGCACAGCAGGAGCACGGACAAGCCCGGCCTCCGCCTCAGCTGAGCCCCAATGCAGCAAGTGGCACAGACTGGCTGGCTGGGGCTGGAAGAGCAGGAGTCACCCGCACACCAGGACACAGACCAATACAGTAAATAAAATGAGACTAACGCTTAGATGCAGGGTGCTCGCGGTGCTTGCTCGCTGACCAAACGGGCCAGAGCACACCAGCTTCTGCTGGGTGGGTGACAGCCCCCAGCCCTGCACCTGAACGCAGCAGCATTCACAGGGCAGTTAACCTCCTTTTTAAAAAGGATCTCAATTGCAGTAATTTAGGGCAAAATTCTACCATTGCACCTCAGCAGAGGAGGGCTGTCTGCTGTGCTGGCCTTCAGCAACATGAGCAGAGGGACTGGAGGCATGATGGGGCAGTAGCCCCAGACATCCCCAACTTGAAATCATGCACCGTGGAAAGCAATTGCCGGGGAAGAGACAGCGGATGGTAAAGGGGAAACTGAGCAATGTGCTCTACCGCTTTCAAAAAGCATTTTGGCAAAATTGTTTACATTTTAGGTGCCACAGAGGCTGAGCACAGTCGATATTTCCAGCTAGAAGAGGAGTGAGTAAAAGCAGCCACCTCATTCAATTCATTCAGTACTGACAAGTCAAAACAGCAAACCAGACAGGTCCTCAAGTCAAGAAAATAGATCTGAGTCATGTACAGAAACCAGAGCCCCTAAGACATGATAAAAAAGGCTGTTAGGAGACTTGGAATAGGTTTTTTCCTCTTCATTAGTATGTTTTCCTAGTTAAAATAATTAATTACAAAAAGAGCCCACTAAAATACTGGGTATAGTACAGACTACCTGGGGAGTGTTTTCATAGGGAATGCTGTGGGAACGGAAAGAACATCACAAGTTTTTCATTTTTTACACCCAATGCAAGTGGCACATTCACAATTACTTACAGATAGCCTTGCTGCTGTTTTTGTCAGATGTTGGAGATTTTACTTCTGGTTCAAGTTCTAAACAGATGAGAGGAAACCATTAAGTTTGGTTATTTACATTTATTCTTGTAGTCTTTCACAGGAAGTCAATTACCTCATTTATGGAAAAACAAATCTGCTTTCCCAAATAGGCAAGTTTACTTAAGGACTACAGTTATCTCTAGATTTCCTCTTTACATACCTAACCACTATATAATAAAAACCACACTTCTTTAAGACACGTAGGTCAGACATATTTCATCATTGATACATACCACATCGAGGCCATGCTTGAACCCACTGAATCTACGTACCTCAAAAAACCCTCTGGCTTGTCCACCAAAGTCCAAAGCAGCAGACAGTAGAAAGAGGAGGTGCAGAGTATGTGAGCGTATGCTAAGACACTAAACAACAAAGACCTCACAGATTCAGTTACTACAGGATACCAAATAATTTCTGAAATGTTCAGTCAATACTACCCTGACTTTCTGGAAGAAATTCTGACTCCAGGCTAATGCTTCTCATCCTAGGAAGAAGTTAGAGATGCAGTCGTGGGCTCTGTGCCTCCTGAGCTGATGCTGCAGTCATGATTATTTTAAAACTGAAGGATGAAAATGGCAATGCCCATTTAAATACTCATAAAAATGGAAGAAGAGCCACACGGACAATATTCAGGTTCTTGTGTGAAAGCAGTCCTTTAGAAAGTGGGTAATTCTTCATTAAGCTGCAAGTCTGGTCACTAAGAGAAGCAATGCAAACGAAGGGAAAGCAGGCTGCGGAGAGGACTTCAGATGAACCTCACTAAGGATTTCCACACAGCTGAGGCAATACAAGGGATTTCTGTGCCTGCAAAGGCATGGTCCACTTGCACATCCCCCTTGCTGCTCCCAGCTGTGAAGGGCTGCTTCCTCCCCAGCACAGCCCCTCCTGACTCCTTGGCAAGCCAGTTCAGCCTGATAAACTTGTGAAAAAGTAATTCAGGGAAGGGGAGGGAAAATCTGAGAATTTTTCTTCTTCTCTCCCCCCGCCCCCTTCTTTAAACTTTAGGAGGAACTATTACAAACGCCTTGAGCAAAACCACTAGCAAGTTCCTGCATATTTTTAACTTATGCACTAAATTAAATCAGAAATCCCCGGATGCTCTATACCAATCAACAAACATCAAAAAAAGCCATTGACATTTTTATGAACCCACAGAAACATGATCTTTGTAAGAATCATTTCTGCATAATTTGGGACATGGATCTACCTCACACACCCTGGTAACTGCATAGGGCCTAAAGAAACATCCTCTGCTCATTCAGCAGCTCAATAAGCTGTGAATGCATAAGCAGCGCTGACTTCCCCCACTTAGAACATTTGAAAAAGTATGTAGCAAAACATGAAATAAAGGTAAAAATGTCAACATTATCAGCCAGACCTCCATTTTCACAAGAGAGAGAGATGATTTAATTCAATTCAGAAATGATCTTCCCATCACATCAATGCAAGGAACATGAGTATCACAACATTATGTGCTGAAGAGCCACGCTAGCTCTTTCACCCACACCGTCCGGAAGTTCATCCTTGGACATTCATACTCAAGAGAAGTGATAAAGTCTCCTCTGAAAAGCCAACTACCATCCTCAAAGGCTCCAAGTAAACTCAGAGCCAGGAAGAGCATGTAAATAGAGGGGTGGCCATCCTCAAACGTTGCCCAAGAACAGGACACCACAGGCATTTTTAAGAAGGGTACAGTTCTTGGGGTTCTCCAAAATAATCATCTTCTGATGCGTATAAAAAATACTTCTTGGAAGCAGCAACAGGAGACAGCAACAATCCAAGAATAAACTGTGCTTGCAGATTCCCAAGTGAAAACACAGAAGAGCAGATCTGGGATTTCTGAAGTCTGCATTATCTACCAAGATCATTTTGTACTCCAAGTCTGAAAGACTAACACCTGTTTACATTCACTAAATAGCCAATTTTGAGTTTATCACAACTTAGAAGCTAGGTAGATTTTGTTGGTAATTCTTAGAATAATTTGAATATTCAGAGTGCTGAGGTTTTGAGGAAACTGGTTTCTTCCTTTCAAGCACAACAGAGAAAATGGTTTTTGCTATACATGCAAAAAGGTCTGCTGCATTGACTGAACACTTGGGCAATTTGTTCATCCCTCAGCTTCTGCTTTTAGTAAAAGTCCTCATTTGTCTCTGAAAGGCAAAATTTTTCCAGCTGTCTTCCTAGCCTCTCCAACATTCACTCTCAGGAACTGTTACTCATTGTCCTGGATCACATACCTTCCCACCCCTTTTTCCTATCATGCTTTTAACACTGAAAGCTTTTTAATATTTGAAACTTAGTATCTTACTTTTGTAGCACATTTTCCTTCGTTTGAAATTTAAAACTGTGATGTTTTTTGATGAATTTATTGTCAAGTTGAGCTGCATTAGTATTGTGACCTCAGAGTCGAGTCTGCCAGTGCAGGAGAGTTCAACACGAAACACTGCAAACAGACAACAAGCAATCATTAAAATTAAGTTTGAGTGCTTTTCAGACATTGTGAAAGAACATTTAAATGATGGGGGTCTTTTTAAATGATGTTTATAATGTACATTTTTAAAGAACTTGATATTAAGAAATCCTATTTTAGTCTTCATGCCTTGTAATTTCAGACAACTATTAAAGCATTAAAGGGCACAGATCTTCAACTAATTTCTGTGAGTTATATTAGAATTTTGCAGGTTAACAAAATTGGATCGCTAAAATTATTTATCCACAAATACATTAGCTTCGGAGTTAAAGTGCTGTCACAAGAGAAACCTCCATTATCACAGAAAACCAGAGAATTTAGTTTTCCTCCTTGCTTTTTCAAATGCTATGAAGGCTAGCTTTTTTCACAACCATTAAGTTTAAATATTTTGGTCTCTGCAAATCTGACTGGAATCAAAGCTTAAATTAATGTGACATCATTTACTTTCTAGTTTACATACTAGTATTATTTATGCCAACAGAGCAGACACAACAAGCCTAATTCCCCAGTGCCTGCTTTTACAAAAAAGTGGTATACAACCAAAACATCAATATATATTTCCTTGTCCCTTGAGTATCTAACAGAGCACAAGACAGCGAGGAATCATACTTGAACAAGCATGAATGATGATCATTTGCACATTTCCTGAAACAAATGCAATTATTCCTAGTATAAATTCTATGGAGGAGCCAGTATGTATTCAAAATAGTTTCTCAGTTTTAAGCTTACCATAAACACTGTAATGTATCAACAACTCCCACACATCTTGAAATATCACCTCTATAGGCTGGAGAAATTAAAAGACATGAATTTTAAAATCCATGCAATTGTTAATTATCATTGTTGAAAGAGAACGGGAAGCTTGCGTATGTACATATACATAAAAAAATGTTATGTTTCCTTTCCAGGAAAATCTCTGTCCTCCACTAAACAGGGAGGGGGTGGGGAATATTACTCTCAGACTAATAGTCTCAATCTATAATACCCTTTCAGCAATGTCAGGACTGTTGCAGAAGGCCTGTAAACATATTACATTTAATGGAGAAAAATTATGCTCTTATGCAACACTACACACATTCTGGAAACAAAGGACCACCAGAAAGCATTATTAGTATCAGCACCGGCTGTGTGCTTCCAGAGGATGGGAGGTTTACCTGAAAGGGTGCGAGGAACTTCTCCTTGTAGAGAAATGTTGGCCTGGGGCATAGCCATAGCCATGGGATTATCTACCTGAAATCCCAGTTTATACTCAACCTGTAACAATAGTTGGGAGAAGGAAGACACATAAGAAATCTCTACAGTAGTAAAAAGAAATGCTACATACCTTTTCATAATAATTCTTGAAATTAAAAAAACGTATCTTATTTTCAAAGAATGCTGGCGATTTTAGGTGCCCAAATTCAAGGTTTCTTATATGAAGTCTAAATATCAGACTTTTGCGACAGTTCAAATTAAGAAAGCCAAAATAGAAACCACTCTTGAAATCATTCTTGAAAATTTGAAGCAGAATTTAAAGCGCTGTATTAAAAAAAAAAAGCCACAAAACTCTCTTGCAATACTTTTAAAACTTACTTGTTCAAAAGCCAGTTTGTTAAAACCATAGGAGTTCAAAAGTTCCCCCTCTTCTAGTCAGTTTTATAAACTACACAGCCAAAATTGCTTATGAACACTTTACTCAACCATAGTCAGGATTTGGTTTCCACTTAAGAAGCTGACTCTGCAAATATTCATTCAAGAAGAGTACTGGACCTATTGTAACTAAGTCATAAGCTCCTGCTGGAAATTCATTCTATCCCTCCACAATCAGCTGAATAAATTTGGTTTGACTTTGTTTGCCCCCGTTAGTTTTTTTCCCCCCTTTCTAAAACATGATAGCATGCAATTTATTTTTCAGTCAAGATGACAAGGGTAGAAACATAACCCAGTTTCTGAGCTCCTATAAACTGCACTACACCCATCGTACAAAGTTAGCACAGAAGATGCGAGTGGTGTAATGTAAGCAGGACTACACGCGCTGAAAAACTCCTATTCAAAATTCACAGACAGGCCCAAGGAAGCTCAGGGCAGGGACAGCGATGCAGGTAGCTCATGGCTGAAGTTCTAACAAGGAAACTCTTTCAAAGGTCCTACTCAAAAGGCAAGTGACAGAACTGCCTGTGAAAGTGGAATACGATATCAAGTAGAAGGGCTGGCCTGCATTCTGCCCAATACCATTGCAGGCCAAAATTCATATCTTCTAAGAAGTTACACCCCGAAGGGAAGAACACTGGCAGAAGGAATCTTCAGAAATAACAGTGGTGGAGTTGTTAAATGTTACTGTTCCTACTGTAGTCTTTCCCACTTAAGGGCAGAAAAATAACCATCACTCAAGTTTAAAAAAAAAACCAAACAAAACCAACAGAACAAAACCAAAAAGGACTAACATCTGGCAGAGACTAAACAGATCACTTCATATACCAAAAAAAAAAAAAATTGTTAAGTAACTGGAAATCCTTCAAAATGTAAGAGCATACGCAATCTTTGACAGCTGTTGCTGCATGATGCAGCCATGGTGATTAAGTGAAATAAAAATCCCTTTCCATTTAATCGTGGCTCTGTAATAACATACTAGATGCTACTTTTATAGATTCTTCTTGTCTTCAAACATATGTTTCTAGAAACCTCTAAAACACAATTGCTCTACATTTGATTTCCAGAGGCTTCTGTTCACTGCTGCCCCTTCTGCACGTTCAGTGCACCACCAGAAGAAATTCCACAGCCAGCAGCTTGTATACATATATACACATGTAGCTTGCCAGAAGCAAGAAGTATAAAATACTTCAAAAGGAAGTGCTTCATCTTTCTAAGCCAAGAGAGGAACAGTTTGGCTACACATCATCTTAACTTATTGCCTGCAATCACATAAATAATTCTTTTGCACCTAGCATATGCTAATTTTTGCAAAGAAAAAAAAGCCATTGAATTATAAATAGTGGGTATTCACTAAGCTATACAGATCGTGTATCAGGTACTCAAACACAGAAGTTATGCCTGCTTACCTTGGATTTAGCATGCCAGCTGAAGTGAAGATTGTTGGTCTCGCTGGGTATTAAGAGATTGAAGGACAACGCATAGCGATTAACCACATCATTCCTCACGTAAGACAACTCTGCATCAAGACCTGCAATGAGAAAGAAAGAGTAAGACAGGGAAGAACAGGACCAGCAGCAACTCACCAGAACAAACGACTCTTAGTACCACCAGCTCCACTTGTATTTGAATGTTTAAGCAAATACTTCCTCCGGTCCATAAATTCAATTGCAGGTTTGGAAATCAATGCTCAGGCACATCAGCATTAACAAGAGTGCTTCAAATTCTTACAATGCAACGATTTCAGAGAGATGCTGCAGCCTAATAAACAGGTAAAAGCTGGAATGTAATGGAAGGAAACACAACTTTTCAAACAATTCTCCAAATCACAGACTCTCCTGAACATATCCCTGTCTGCTTCTGGGAATCACAGGTCCAGTCTTGCTCTTATTTACAACTCTGTACACTCAAAACAAACTGCTTTCGATTATCAGCTTTTTAATTGCAGGTGATTCTTCCTCAACAGCTCATTTCTTGAGCCCAAAACACATAGGCACTATGGAATTAACTTCAAGGTAATGAGATCATAACACAAAGCACATACTGAGAGAAGGAATGACATTTGTACACCAGGTAATACTAATATTTTATCTCTACCCTTTGCTTTCTGAACATTTTAATAAACCTAGAGAACTGAAAGACCCATGAAACTATTCATTTACAGAGCACTAAGGTGCATTTTGCTAAATAAGACCCATACTCTGATATTAAAAATATTGAAGCTGCCATTATCTTTTGCAGCACACTTTCCAAGGTCATACTGAATCAGGGTAGGACCCTACAGCTTGCCCTGGGTGTCACTAGCAATTAGTGGTTAAAGTAAGCACTACAAGTTAACCCCCTTCCTTGCAGCTGTAAAATTAATTCCAGCTCCATATCCTCAGGACAAAACCATACTGTATTTATAATCCATACCATTTTGTCTTGTCTCACACAGCTTTTCCTCCGCTGCTCCCAGTTAAACACCATCCAGGCTCAGCAATATACTGACATGCTAAGAGAACAACTGGGCAAGTCAGACACAGGTGCTGTCTCCAAGCATGATCTATGCAGAGGGCACCAAGTTCAATTAAAGTATTCACAGTACAACTGGGAATGTAAATAATGAGGTTATTTTTACTATGGCTGGAAAGTCAAGAAAACTGGAGAGGCTGACTCCAAGATGACAGCATTTAAGGTTTCCTTAAGTTATTCCAAGAATCTATGGAATCATGAAAGAGTTCCGGGTTGTTTTTTGGGTTTGTTTGGTTTGTGTTGTTTTTGTTTGTTTGTTTGTTTTAAGGGGGGGGGGAAATCAAAGATAACTATTGAACTGTGTAGACAAGCTGCATTTGAAGAAAGTGATAATTATTTTGAGGGAAACAATGCTTCCCATTTAGTGCAAAAACTGGGCACAGATCAGTGCAAAGTGATAAGCTTTCTCTTATTCCAGAACTTGATTTAATCCACCTTGTTTTCACCAGACATAGAAATGCAGCCAAGACATTCCTCTTCGTTCTTGTTGCCATTAACCACTGTTACTCCCTGCTGGCTCATTAGTGTCCTGAAACTCAATCAAAACCCAAGAGTAAATAATCACAGATGCTGGGGGGGAGCGGCGAGGCGGAGAACCCTAGGCAGAGGATGCATGAAAGGAATCAACAGAACAGAGTAATCCCAGGGAGAAATACTCTCAGACAAGATCTTGAACAGAAGAAGATGCAGGTGATGCCTTAAGTGCTGAATGTAATCAACCTGAGTAAGTATATATAAAAAAACTTAAATCTTTCTTCTCCAATTTCTCCATATTTCCACTCAAATAACAAATGGCAAATGCAAAAGCATATCCACCAATAAAACTGGGAGGAGGGGGAAGCACAGACACACACCTTGAAACAAAACAAAACTTTGAAAACACATAAAAGAAATAGCAAACTTCCAAAATACCTTGCCCAGGTAATTTTTATATGTGTACATGTTTACACATGAAATCTACCTCAGATTTAGAAAACATGGAAGGAACATGAAAAAGAGCTTACAACTATCAGACACTTGCCATTAGAGCCAATCAAGAAGGTGGGAAGCTTTATGGGCATAAACTTACCAAACAAAGTATTTAAATCAAACCCAGTAAGTACATGTTATTAAAAAAAAAAAAAAAATCAGCAGACAAAAGGATGAGCAGATGAAACAATGAAATTGGAGCAGTGGAACTGCTTTTGGAGTAAAGAAAATCTTCTCTTGCTGATAAATGGTCACACCAGTGATTAGAGGTTCACAAAAACAACTCAGAACTTGTTAACACTATCAGATTTTCAAGGTAATAATCCTTGATTTAATATAAACTTTGTAGAGAAACTGGTCATAGAAATCAAATGGGTACACAGCAATAAAATTGCCTGTTACAAAAACTGGCCTTTACAGAAGTAACGTAAAAGGCAATCCTAAGTGAAGCTGCCAGGCATAAATATCTTGATGTGCAGTAATATCTAAAGGTGTACAAAACCAAATTACCCCACAGAAGATCAATCAAATATTTAAGCTTTAACAGCGGTACAACACTGAGCAATTTGATTATATAGACCATTAATATTTTAATGCCTATACTGCCATAAAAAGCCGCACACTAACAGGCGATGCTAATTTTTCATACCCTCGCTGCCTCCTCCACCTCAATCCTGAGTTCCTGACGCACTTTGTCAGTTTAATTTATCTCAGTCAGGCCAGAAAAACACACCAAAAATTGCAGTTGAACCTGCCAGTCCAAAAAAAAAAGCGCACCTTGCCTGTGCTCCAGGCAGGCAGCCAGGCAGGAAGGTGTGTTCTGCCCGACATGAAGGAGCCCAGGTACCAATTGCCGGCAATGCCGGGAGCTGCACCACATCCCAGCCATAAGGGAGGGCACTGGGAAGGTACGTGCAGGTAAGCAATCACACAGGGCTCCGCGGCAAGCGGTGGGGAAAGCCAGAACCGTAGCTCACCAATCAGCCACTGAATAATCCTGATGCAGGCTGCCATCCTTTCGCTCACTGCATTCCTGGGCTTCCTCTGTTTTATGAGTCTTCCACTTTGAGGAAGAAAAAATTTCCCCATACCCACAGAAATTGCCCGGGCAATGCTGCAGCACCATGCACGTTCAAGAGCTCCTCGGTGGGTAGACTCCAGATTTCTATAGTTAAAACATTTTAGCCAAGATAAAGCATGCTTTTCTCAACACCACATGGGATGCACAGGTTAAATTCTCACCGAGAAAAACCACGGCACAGTGTGCCAGGCTCCAACAGCCCTGCGCTGCTGAAGGCAGCAGACGAAGATACCACTGCAACCACGCTGGGCAGACCACAACCAACGCCTCTCTTCCCACAGGTTTGGATCAGGAGGACAACGACCAGCCTCAGTGAAATATCAAACAGGTTCAGATATGTCCACTGAGTACTGGCTGCGAGCTACCTCTATTTAATCAGGTACTTTGTTCCTGTTATCTACATACTTTTTTCTTTTTTTTTTTTTTTTTTAAAACCACACCACATAGTTGTGCTGCCTCAATGCTTAGATTTCCAGACCAGTTAAGTGCTATTATTAACTTAATCTGGAGTAGATACTGAAAATGGTTAAGGAGTTTGCAGAAAACCACGTTAGGCTCCATTACCATGACAGCTTAAGTCTAACTCAGAATTGCTTTAATTCTGCATTTCACCTTTCTTCTGACATGCATACTTGCACCTGCCTTGCAATGTTCCTTATTTAAACCTTCAGCAAGCCATGTTCAGGGAGTCAAGCTGGCAAAACGCTAATGCAGGGGGTAAAAAAAAAAAAGTGAAGGAACACATCTCAGTCCATTTAACTCCCCAAATTAGTGAGGATGCTCAGGAACACCCCATATGAAGGGCAAGGCTACAGCAGCACTAACTTAGACCTTATACTAAAACAGTAGTGCTACCTTACCCAGATAGTCCAGGCTTTTTTTTCAAAGCATGCTTTGGGCAAAGGCAGCTTTGAATGATGGTATTAAATTAAGCACATCCCCATCACTACACAGCCTAAACTGCTGACCTCAGGATTTTTTTGCTTGGTTGTTTGTTTTTAATGTGTAAATCTCTTTCAAACACAGCACCAGCGTAAGATGTAATCAGTCTAGGTAGCAGGTTGCTGGGGAAAAGATACAAACAAGGTTAGTTTTCCCAAATGTTTCAGATTTCAAGAATGCTTAGTAAACTACTAAACTGCTACACTAAAATCTATTCACTGGGGGCAGGGGGAAGGAAAAAGTAATTCTGCGAGATGTCAGGTTCCTCCTCAGGCATTGACCATTTTTGCCACCTTGCACTGTAAGTAGGGCAAATACACCAGCGTGCACATGACCTCCTGGAACAAACCCAAGTTGGTATGTAATGTTTTATGTCATATAGGGAATGATAAAAGGAGAACACAGGTGGCTCTACAAGAAAAACACAGGTGCATTATAAACAGCTACAGAAAACAGGTAGTTCTTCAAGAATCATTTTCTAGGCAAACAATTAAAACTTAAAGAAAGGGTGGAGAACCTTACAAAGAAATACCAAAAAATTTTAGGCTACACAAACTGCAGAGGAGGAAATGAAGCTTTTCAGAAATGCTTCTATTGGTTTAGGCAGTATGTTGGCGCTCAGCGACAAGCGGTTTTAAAACACCGGCTGCAATTTTGCAGCAAGCCTCCTTAAACAGGCCCATATGCAGACAATATACAAGACTAAAGGATCTAGTTCCTCATTACCTGGACTTGACTAACCTACACCAACCTGCATGAAAACAGCAACACTCTGCTTTCATTTCAAGGGGAAAACGCCACTCTTTTACCCAGGCAACGCCTAAATCTCATTATTAGGCTTCCACGTCTTTGTACCTCCCACCCTTGTGCACAAAGTTGAAAGACTAAATTAAAGTTGAACAAAAACAAAAAGGTAAATTTAAGCAGCACCATCGAGAAAGTCTGTCATTCTTTGCACTGTTTAACATAACAAAACATCTGAAGAAGCTCAGAAAGGAAGGGGAGAGGCCAATTTTCATTCTCAAATGCAAAAGATGCTGGGCAGCCCTTGTGTTCATGACAAAATTGGATCATGTCAGTCTAGCAGCCTAACAAAACACTTCTTTTCAAATGCCCTTGTGTAAATGCAATCCAGCTTCAACTCTTTTTTTTTTTTTAAGCACAATATACAAAAGAAACTTGCCGCTATCAGCATGGGAAAAATTAGATTTTATCCTTATGAAGCAAATCTATCCTACAACATGCACTAACAGTAACACAACCTTCTTAAAGACGACAACAGCATTTAGGAGCCTGTTACCCAGGTAACAGGCTTCAAACCATCATAATTCTGGAAGATTCTGTCTAAAAATCAAGAACAAATGAGCAACGTAAGAGTTAGATGAGATTACTCTTACTGAAACACTGCTTGCTGCAATATATTAGCCTTAGTCTAATAGCAATCTGCTAACAATAGCTGACATAACTGACTCCCCCAGCTGCCTACCCAGCCCTCTGACAGATCCCTGTCTGTGTACAGAAATAACTAAAATTAGTGCCTTTTCTTAATATGCTAGTCCGTAATTTTAGGAGTTTCTTCATAGGCAGCTGAGAAATCTCTGCAGCGCAACATCAAACCCCCACAGCCCTCAAAGCAAGCCACTCCTGCTCCTGACTCATGGCCACTGAAATAAATTACCTGAGAAGAGTTACAGAGTTAAACAAGTCATTATCTTCATATAAATATTCTATTTGTTCAGGGGTTTACGTGCTCTAGAGAACGATGCCTCCACTCCTGAGCAGCTCATCTGGCTTAGCCCTCTGGCCAGGCCAGAAGCTTCCACTCCAGGGTGGACATCCACATGAAAGAGTATGAACCTCAAGCTTCAACATCCCTTCACCATCATCTACTTCCCAAGTCTGTGCAACCTACTCCATAAACACACAAGATTCACCCAGCACTGGACAACTTACCTTGTTGAAGATAGACATCCTTTTTTTTTCCCCTTCTGTTTTCCTTTCAAAGTGTACCGTAAGTCTGAAACACTAACTTTAAATCCTAAGCCTTCTTTTTTTTTTTTTTTTTTTTTTTGCAACAGGTTCTGCAAATGTGTGCTGGAAAAATTCTATTTTCATACCACCAGCCTAAGCACAAGGAAACGTGGCTGAAGAATTAAAAATCAGCTTTTGACTACTGAAACTTTTTCCCCAAGGCAGAAAGAACACTTCCTCAGAGAAAGCCTTCATTTGAACATATTGAATTAGTTCCAACAATCACCTTACATAGGGCTGAAACTACAAACTGGGAGTTAAAAAAAACGAGGAAATCAAACTGATCCACATGGATCAATTTCATTTAGAAAATAGTAAACCATTGGAAATAAAATATTAAGCATCTGTACATACACACACACACAAACACATAAAAAACTTCTTATATCCTATTTGTACGTATCCAGTATATACAACAACAAAAAATGAACTTTCCTTTAACAAAACAAGTAACAGATTATAGCCTTCTACTTGCATTTTTATTTAATTATTTCCCCACAACATTAGTCTGCCACTTAGAGCTGTTGGTCAGGAATTTGGGCTGAAATACTTGTTTTTAAACATCTTGCCATGAGTGTCTGGAAAAGATGACTGATGAAAAACATCACAGGAAAAAAAGTTCAATCTTAAGTAATGCAGAGATGAAGAAACAGCTTTTCACTCTCGTAACACAGGTGCCAGAGAACATCAAAGGACGTTGTTCAGTGTCAAGTTTGAAAGACAAATCAGCAGGCAAAATGCATCAGTACTCACTAACACAGTTTCTACCTTTTGCTTAAAAATTTTTCTTCCCTGACTGCTGAATAGTCCTTCTGCTCATCACCTACCTGACACTTAGAAAAAACACAAAGACAAAAGAATCCCACATTTTGGGGTCAACTTCCTACCTCTACACGAAGTTCTTCAGTGCCTATGTGCATCTGTCTCACCAAAGAACTCTCCAACCCACTTTTCTAAAACTTCAGCCTATGCTTTGCTAGAAAGAAGCATCTTGTAACCCAGTACCATAGACCTTGGAAAAAAACCCCAAAACCCACAGTATCGAGTGCATGAAAAACAAACTAGAAATAAAATCACAGCTTGACACATCACCAAACCATACTGAAACATGCAAGCTCTTTGTGGAATTGCTCTAACATTAGCTTGTTAACATAGCACACACTGATTGGCGAGGCTCCGTAATTAAATCCACTCTCACCTCCACAGAAAACCTCACCCACCAGAGACTGATGCCTCATTGCATATAGCAGTTGCAGAGAGCAGTAACTGTGGTTATTTACACAAAGGGCTTTGTTACCTATGCAGAGTTTTCTTTTCATGAGCCGGAGACGGAAAACAACATGCAAGGCATTCAATTTGAGGAAATACTCAATATAACATCAAGGCAATGACTGCATCCTTGAAAACCAACCAAGACGCCCTAGCAAGGAATCTTAGTAGGAAACTTCCCAATATCTAGCAAAGAGGAAAAACTCTTAGCTGAGAGCTCTCATTAAATCCTTGTGAATCTTCGCTGACAAATCACCCACAATTCGCAAGTTCAACACCACAGGCAAACAGGATTTTTCTCACTGAAAGGCCTTTCTGAAAGTCACAGAGCAGACCCCTTCTATGGGAAGAAGCTTCTCCCCTCCAGGAGATGGCATTTGCTGAAGTGAAAGCATAAGGAACTTGGCAATATTTAACTCAATCCATACTAAAAAGACATTAATTGTTCCTAGGACCCAACCGCTTACCCTTTTTTTTGACACTGAACAGTGGAAATCATATTTCAACAGCCTGCCTGCTGATAGGTAGGATATAAAGGCAGCTGTAAAAATGGTTGGAAGATTACACTCTCCTTAATAGAGGTTAAAAAAACAAAACAACAAAACCAAAAAACCAACCCACCTCAGCACAGAATACAAGTAAACTCTGCTCCTGAGAACACCTTCTAAATGAAATTTGCCCATGTGAAACT